CTCTTTCCCAGCAAATGGGCTCTGTGTCCAAGAGAATGTCTAATGAGGCTTTTAAATTGTTAAGATGCTACACACTTAAAGATGTTATCGTTGAAGGCAAATTATTTTATGGTTATTTATGAGTTTTAATTATTCTTCATACATTAGCAACAATGGAGAACAACACTTTTTCCATCTGCTATTGACTTAGCAAGAAATTTAATTGTGTTTAACAGAAAAGACAGGATACAACCATCAAGACTGCAGAGATCCAGATTTGTTGCTGAAAATTAGATTTTATAGCCATAAAAAAAAAGATATGTGGAATTTCTTTCAAAGGAGCAAAACACAGGGACTTAAAAAAAGAAAGATGCTGAGAAAGTCAGGCTGAGGGATGATTCACCTGCCACCCCTGAGAACCCCAGGCTTTGATGTGCATCCAGACACCACCTCCTGGCTCATCAGCCCCGAAAGCCCCCTCCCTCAGAGTGAGCCAGGAGTGAAAAGAGCAAAGCAGCTGACCTCAAGGCACAGCCTTCTCCTCTGCTCTGAGCCAGCCCTGGCTTAACATCAAAGTGTATAAAGCAATAAGTAGCAAAAGGGAAGGGAAGGGAAGGAAGAGGCCTACTGATCTAACAAATAAAATGTTTACTCTCATGGAAATTCCAGGGAAATAAAAAGGAAAAAAAATACCACTCACAGCTCCCCTATTCAAAGGTAACCACATGTGTGTTCTGGTGGGATTCCTTGTGGTCTTTTTTCCCACATCCACCCAGCTACATCTGAGAGGAAGCCAAGCCAAGCCTGAGGGAGAGGGTTCTCCAGAGGAAGCATCCAGGCTGCATCCATCACGAGGGACACAGATTCAAATCTGCAACAGATCTCCTGCTTTGGCAGAGGTCCCTTTTCAGGGACCCCTCCCCAGCCCTGCCACACACACACGGGACGGACGGCCTCTCTGGCCTCAGTATCAGATCCTGTTCCTCTCCAAACGTTTTCTCTGATGATGCACTTGATTATTGTTCCTTTTCACATGGAGACAGCCCTTTCAATCAAAGCCCACTGATCCTCTGTCTCGGCCCTTCATATTTTCTTCTCTGTCCTTTTTTTTGTCATTCGGGAAGGGATCTCGTTTCCCTCCCACGTGACTGAGCTCCACTTTCCACAACATCAATTCAACATTTTTACTGTCTGCAGTACAGACTTTATTGTTTTTATTTTTTAACATCTTTATTGGAGTATAGTTGCTTTACAATGTTGTGTTAGTTTCTGCTGTACAACAAAGTGAATCAGCTGTATGTATACATATATCCCCATATCCCCTCCCTCTTGCATTTCCCTCCCACCCTCCCTATCCCACCCCTCTAGGTGGTCATAAAGCACCGAGCTGATCTCCCTGTGCTATGCAGCTGCTTCCCACTAGCTATCTATTTTACATTCGGTAGTGTATTTATGTCCATGCTACTCTTTCACTTGGTCCCAGCTTACCCTTCCCCCTCCCCGTATCCTCAAGTCCATTCTCTAGTAGGTCTGTGTCTTTATTCCTGTCCTGCCCCTAGGTTCTTCATGACCTTTTATTTTTTTTTTTAGATTCCATATATATGTGTTAGCATACGGTATTTGTTTTTCTCTTTCTGACTTACTTCACTCTGTATGACAGACTCTAGGTCCATCCACCTCACTACAAATAGTTCAATTTTGTTTCTTTTTATGGCTGAGTAATATTCCATTGTATATATGTGCCACATCTTCTTTATCCATTCATCTGTTGATGGACACTTAGGTTGCTTCCATGTCCTGGCTATTGTAAATAGTGCTGCAATGAACATTGTGGTACATGGCTCTTTTTGAATTACGGTTTTCTCAGGGTATATGCCAGGAAGTAGGCATGGAGGGAACCTACCTCCACATAATAAAGGCCATATATGACAAACCCACTGGCAACATCGTTCTCAATGGTGAAAAACTGAAACCATTTCCTCTAAGATCAGGAGAAGACAAGGTTGTCCACTCTCACCACTATTATTCAACATAGTTTTGGAAGTTTCAGCCACAGCAATCAGAGAAGAAAAAGAAATCCAAATCAGAAAAGACATAAAACTGTTACTGTTTGCAGATGACATGATACTATACATAGAGAATCCTAAAGATGCTACCAGAAGACTACTAGAGCTAATCAATGAATTTGGTAAGGTAGCAGGATACAAAATTAATGCACAGAAATCTCTAGCATTCTTATACAGTAATGACAAAAAATACGAAAGAGAAATTAAGGAAATACTCCCATTTACCACTGCAACAAAAAGAATAAAATACCCAGGGATAAACCTACCTAAGGAGACAAAAGACCTGTTTGCAGAAAACTATAAGACACTGATGAAAGAAAGACGATACAAACGGAGAGATATACCATGTTCTTGGATTGGAAGAATCAACATTGTGAAAATGACTATACAATCCAAAGCAATCTACAGATTCAGTGGAATCCCTATCAAACTACCAATGGCATTTTTCACAGAACTAAAACAAAAAATTTCACAATTTGTATGGAAACACAAAAGACCCCGGATAGCCAAAGCAATCTTGAGAAAGAAAAACGGAGCTGGAGGAATCAGGTTCTCTGACTTCAGACTATACTACAAAGCAACGGTAATCAAGACAGTATGGTACTGGCACAAAAACAGAAATATAGATCAATGGAAGAGCATAGAAAGCCCACAGATCAACCCACGCACATATGGTCACCTTATCTTTGATAACGGAGGCGAGAATATACAATGGAGAAAAGACAGCCTCTTCAATAAATGGTGCTGGGAAAACTGGACAGCTACATGTAAAAGAACGAAATTGGAACACTTCCTAACACCATACACAGAAATAAACTCAAAATGGATTAAAGACCTAAATGTAGGGCCAGACACGATAAAACTCTTAGAGTAAAACATAGGCAGAGCACTCCATGACATAAATCACAGCAAGATCCTTTTTGACTCACTTCCTAGAGAAATGGAAGTAAAAACAAAAATAAACAAATGGGACCTAATGAAACTTAAAAGCTTTTGCACAGCAAAGGAAACCATAAACAAGACAAGAAGACAACACTCAGAATGGGAGAAAATATTTGCAAATGCAGTATATGGACTTTAATTGCTACTGTATTTTTACTCTTCTTCAAATCCTTCCCTCCCGCCGGGGGCCCCCTTCCGGCTGCTGTCTTCCATTCCAACCAGTTGCCCCCCGTGGTGACCTGCTCCTGTCCTGTGCAGGTCATGGCACTTTTTTGAAGATGTTAAACAGTTTCACTTAGGGAGTGGGTTGGGAGGTCTCTTATAGTAAAACATCTTTAGTTCTTTGACAGTTATTTGGAGGTCTGTAGTCAGTATTCATTTACACTTTTGTAATATTTTTTAATACGACAGTTTTTCTTTTTCCCCCCATTTATTCCTCAAAGATTGTCTTGCCGTTCCCTTCCACGATGAGATTTTTCTATCAGATCCACACCAAATGACAAGTTCATAAATCCAAGCCCGGTTCTGGATACTGAGAGGCTTTCAGTACAGTTCGGCTGTACTAGAACAGAATGTTTTCTGGGAGCTGCAATTTCCAGAGCTACTGAATGAGAGGGTCAACCACAGATGAGACAGGGTGGGGAGGGGAAAGGAGAAAAACACTTCTGGTGCCTCCAAAAGCAGCCCCTAGTGATGAAAAATGGCAGAATCAGCCAGCACTGCTGAGCATAGAGAAACGGTTCTTATCAATGCTGGTGGTGAGGGTCTAACTGGTTCAACCTTTTGAAAAGATAACTTGGCAACAGGAGTCAAGATTTTAATGTGCATATGCCTTTTCATAATAATTTCTCTCTTAGGACTTATACCAAGGGAAAGAAATTGGTCAAGTGTACAAAATGTATATTCCAGGATTATACTCATCTTACTGTTTACATAGTGAAATACTGAAATAGCCTAGATGCCGACCACTAGGGCACAGTTAAAAAAGGTACAGTCTCTGAAACGGAATTCGGTGTAGCCATTAAAATGGTATTTACTGACATGGAAAGGTACCTACAATATATTAAGTTAAAACTGTACACACTGTACAATTCCATTTCTGTCAAAAAGATAAAACCTTGTGCGTGTGTTTACAGAGAATAATTCTGGAAGATACAAATCAAAATTTTACTCGTGATTTTTCTCTAGGTGGTAGGAACTATGAGTGACTTTAATATGTGTTTATTGTACTGACTTTATTTTTATTACTAAGATTAATATTTTGCAATCAGATAAATAAAATTGTTTTTGAAAGAAAAAAAGAAAAAATAACAAGACCGGACCATACTCTCTGTGCTGAGTAAGGAATCGTCGGCTGGGGCAGCCGTGGGTCACATGGTTGATTGGGGCTCACGTGTAGGTCACGTGGTTTCTCCGGGCAGCCAGGGAAGGGGGCCTCCAGGCCTGCTCCCTAAGCTGCTCCCTTAGAGTAAATCCTCCCCAAGCCCTAGCGGCCTCTCAGTCAGGCTTCCGCTGGTGTTCCACCCCCATCTCCCTCTCCTCACACACCACTTGTGGGCTGCTGTTCAAATTCCACTTTTTATATTTTTTTTTGGCTGTGTTGGGTCTTCGTTGCTGCGCACAGGCTTTCTCTAGTTGCGGCGAGCGGGGGCTACTCTTTGTTGCGGTGTGCGGGCTTCTCATTGCGGTGGCTTCTCTTGTTGCAGAGCACGGGCTCTAGGAGTGCGGGCTTCAGTAGTTGCAGAACGTGGGCCCAGTAGCTGCGGCACACAGGCCCTAGAGTGCAGGCTCAGTAGTTGCGGCGCGTGGTCTCTAAGGTGCGCAGGCTTCAGTAGTTGTGGCACACGGGCATAGCTGCTCCGCGGCATGTGGGATCTTCCTGGACCA